ACTGAATAGGCAATGGTTTCACAATCATGCCTAAGGGGATCTAAAATAAATACCGTATGAGAAAACTACACATTTGGGGTAATGAGATTTATCCAGGGGGAGGGGGTTTGAGATGCCTTTAATGCAATTTGTTTCTTCAAAACAAGAAAAGCACCATCAAAAAAGTACATTTATGCTGTTTGATAAGACCTTGGTCCTTTCTCTGGGCTGTGTGGAACACTAGTATTAGCCAACAGGCCTACACATGCTATCATTTACAGAGAAAAAATTAGTAGGTAACAGCAATGAAATGATAGGGATTTCATTTTTAAAAATCTTTTTATACTAAAGAAAAACAAGCTTTCTTCTAATAAGTAGAGTATGAGATGTGACAGCAGAAATCCATACAGTGCTACTGTTTAATCTGTTAGATAATTTTTGTCTTAATTTTCCAAATGTAGGTATTATTTTCTGATGGAAAGCTGGTTATTATTCTATTTCAAAATCTTTCAGTTTCATACTCTTTACCACGTGTGACAAACACCACATTATTCTTAATGATACAAAGATTCCAGAAATCAAATAGGCAGATTTCTCCCAAAAGAGAAAAGACAGGTGGGCACAGAATCAATAATCCTAATACCATATATCACTAACCTACAAAAGTAAGTTAATACTTTGCAATTATAAAGACCAAGCATGGCCCCAAAGAAAAGAAGGGAAAATGTCCTTTCCCACATTCTCCCTCCCTCTTTTCTTTCCTTCTTTCCTGCCTCCTTCTTTCCCTTCATTGCAGAGGTGCAGGACTGTGGTGGGGCTTGGGGGCACTTGAATGTGTTGTCAGACCTATTAAGGATGTTAGTTTTGCTAAAGTGATTTTTTTTGCTTTTTCTTTTTTATTCTTTCTCACAAAGGATGGCTCACTGAGGTAAAGCTGAAAGGAGGGAACAGATCCAGAGACAAAGGCGATGTTAAAAATAAAAGTTATCAACAAAAATTATTTTTAAAGAAAATTCTGCTTAAAATCCTTCAGTACCTGGGTTTAATCAGAATTACGGGTCTTTGGGGGGGGAGGGGCAAGGCAATCAGGGTTAAGGGATTTGCCCAGCGTCACACAGCTGGTAAGTGTCAAGTGTCTGAATCTGCATTTGAATCACTCCAGGGCTGGGGCTCTATCTACTATGCCACTTAATTGCTCCCAGAATTATGGGTCTTTGAAAGCTTCTTCTGGTATTCCTAATGGGATATCATAATTTTTTGTTTCGTCTTTTTTTTAACTTTATTGACCTACCTTAACCTAAAGATACTGAAGTCTTAGTAAATAGAAAGAAAAAATAAACACAATGGATTTGTAAAAAGATGAATAGTGTGATGTTTATGTTAAGCGTATAGAATTGAAACTCTATTCAGTGGCTCTTATACCAAAGAAAAAATATCCACTTCTGCATTTAAGTATGACAAATAATTAGTAATTTATTCCAAAATTAATTATTCCCCAATCCTTGACACATTTAATTTGAAAGGCTTATCGTAGGTATCTGAGGAATAAAAGCCTGTTAACACAACAGGTGAGCAAGCAATTTTATTCCCATGCTATATGCCATATTTACACTTATAATTTCCCTAAGTACATGTTTTTCCTCCTCCAATTTTCAGAAGGCAAACAAATGACTTCTCCTCTACACTATTTCATCCTGTGAATTTATATAATCAAGCTGCCACACTTTCAGAGCCAATGATCCAAACCCCTAATGTGAACCTGGAGCTATCCTAGGATTTCTGCCTCTAAGGATTGTTAATTTAGACATTTAAACTCTGTTTGCTGGGGGAAAAAGGGGAATGCTCAATTATATTCACACCCCTTCAACAACAGGATAAGAATAAGAATAAGAAGAGTCTGTAATGCTGATGACAGTCATAGCAAGCAATCCACTGGGAGAAGTAAACCAGGGTCCTGACTCAAGGAACCATTAGGAGCAGTGTTTCTGCCTGCGTAAGAATACACTGGTTCTAAGAGTTTGGGGGTCAGCCTTTCAACCAGTGGTGGCAATATGCTTAATTTACTCACTCAGTTGTAGGAGTAAAATATTTATGAAAAGAGGAGAAATTAATTTAGAACAATAAAAGCAATATGGTATAGTTAGAACATGTAGTCAGAAGACATGAATTCAAATCCCAACTCTATCTGGAAGACATTAGGCAAGTCTAATGGCTCAGGTCTATAATTACTTCCTCAGAAATTAAGGGTTTGAACTAAGTAATCCCTCTGGCTCTAAATAGTATAATCCTACAATCTGATATTGAGTAATCCATCAATTAAGCAGCTAGGTGGCACAGAGGATAGAGCACTGACCCTGGATTCAGGAAATTCATACTCATGGGTTCAAATCCAGTCTCAGACACTTGCTAGCTATGTGACCCTGGACAAGTCATTTAATCCTATTTGCTTCAGTTTCCTCATTGTAAAAAACAATCTGGAGAAGGATAGGCCAAACCACTTCAGTATCTTTGCCAAGAAAACTCCAAATGGGGTCATGAAGAGTCAGACATGCCTGAACAACAACAATCCATACATTATACAAGTTATTAACCAATTTAATTCACCAAGCTTAAGTAAAAAAAAAAACAAAAAAACCCTAGTGTATGTGAAGCATCGTATTCAAAGACACAAACCCTGCTATCTATGGGTATATAATTTAATCATGGGAAAAGCCATATATACAAAGAACTATCACTTATCTGGTGTTCACTTGGTAGGAAGGTTACAGAGAGGATTCTTATATAAGTAGAGGTCAAAATAGAGAGCCTCTCGGGTTCTTTCAACTCTGAAGCCCTGTGATTCTAAGAAGAGTTAGTACATAAAGCTAAGTACATAAAGAATAAGCCCAAGCAATATGCTCTAAGAAATCTGGGGAGAGTAAGATTCCTTTCATATGAAGAGTAGGGATCAGGGAAGTCTTCATGGAGGAAATGCTACCTGAGTTAAATCTTAAAGGAAGGGAGCAATCTCAACAAAGACACGAGGATGGGATTCCTACTCTTCATCCTGACTTTCAAGGCCCTGACTATCCATAGCAAACAATTACAATACATAATATTACATAGTAAATACATCAGAATTGGAAAACCATTCTTTTTACTATGTTAGTGTTATGACCTGTCCAAAGAGGAAGGTTATTAATAGGAGAAAAGGGGAGGGATGGGTCAAGGAATGCTTCCTGAAAGAGGGGTATTTAAATTGGGCTTTGAAAGGCAGAATTCAGTGGGTAAAGAAGGAGAAGGAAAAAGCCAAAAATAAAAGCAAATCAGACTTTGTGCTAGGATCTAAGGTTAAAAATTGTTATAGTTTGTTATGGTGAAAAGCTAGAAAGATTAAGGAAAATTTACATACCAGTAGTCACCGATAGCTTAGTCAAGTAGATTTTTGTTTTAAAAGAATACTGATGAATAAAATAATTTGAAATATAATAATAACTTGATGACAACACAAAACTGTAAAATTAGTGACAGTGCAGCCTACCTCTCTTCTTTCCTCCCTATAAGGTAAAATGCATAACTGAATTTTTTTTTAATTACAGAACTTTAAAATTGGAAGGAACTTTATAGGGGTCACCTCATTCTGCTCAGAGTCCCATGCAAGCATCTTTATTATGAAATCTCTGATAAGTTGCTTGAAAACATGCAACAAAGGGAAAAACACCACCTTACCAAGTAGCCCATCCCATGTCTGGACAATTCTAATTGTAAGAAAGTTCTTATATTCAGAGATTTAGTGCTGAAAGGGAAGTTAGATATCATACAGCCCCCTCATTTTACAGATTAGGAAACAGTGGGATTAAGTAACCCTAACTCACCCAGGAAGCCAAGTTGCAGAACAGGAATATAAACCCAAGTACTCTACCAGCACATTAACCCCTCTTCCTATTGTGCCATATGGTCTCCAGAGCAAGAAAAAGATCAGAAGAACAGTTTGGATTGTGATAAGTATTTTTTAAAGTTCATTCACACCTAAGAATGCCCTTCTGATGACATAGGTAGGAAACAATAACATTCAGATATCTTCATATATAACTTTTATGTTAATATATTTTAGTGAGAGAGATGAATTTAACATGTAGGGAACATGGTTTGAGCTAGACGGGATATAACTGACACCTTCAGACTGCTGGGAGAAATATGAATGGATTTTATTTAAGTCAAGAGTTAGATCTGCCCTCAAAGCTGGAAATCTTCATTTCTAGAATTGACCTTGCTTTTACGAAATCCCAACACATATGCTATGTACAGAGTTCATTTTGGCCCATGATTGTATATACTATTTTGCATTTTTGCTGGGCAATTGGAGTCAATAAGACATAGTGTTAAATGTGATTATTTTGAAGTTAGGAGACTTGGGTTTGTATTCTTGTTTCACCACTAACTAGATGTGCAACCTTGGACCACTCACTTCAATTTTCTAAATCTTAGTTCCCTTACCTATAAAACACAGATCTAGGATTTTAAAATAAGTTGTCTAGGATCTTAAAATAAAAATTAGTTTTTTATCTTACTCATAAGACTGTTTTGAGGAAAGAACTTTTTAAACTTTAATGTTCTGTAAATTTTTTGTAGAAAAAATATAAGTTATTAAAAACTGAAGTCTAATCTGTTTATGTCTGTTTTGTTTGGAATAATCAACTGGCCCATAAGACAGAAGAAGCCTTTGACTACCACCCAGGAGCCCATTTGCTGTGTGTAGAGTTGGAGCCTGATAAATTTCAAACTAATAAAAATTGTGCATTGCGCTATTTCCTTGCTGCCAGTTCAACCAGTCCATGTGTTATATATGTACTTTTCCTTTGGTGTAGGAAATGAAAACTAGTCAATGAAACTGTCTACACACTATGTGGAAAACTCTTATCTGAAATTCAATGGATACTTCTTGAACATTTCACATCTCCTATTATTTGGCGATTTCATTTATCATTTCAAGATATTCACTAACTTGATAAATACTAAGCACATGCAGAGTTAAGTCTTACGTGAGATTCCTCATTTTCCTCTTCTGGAGTGATGGGAAGGATAGAAGGCTTTGTTGGCAATTTGAGTTCATATGTCATTATACTCCACCTGAAGGAAAAGAAAGGAGTGGTCTAAAAATCACTTCAATATCTCATGAACTGATTTATTTACTTTCTCAGAAACATAAATATATTTGTCAATGATAATTAAGTTGTCTAAGATCTTAAAATAACAACAATAATTTCATGTCAGGGGATATAAAATTCTGGGAGCCTCATGAGACCTGAAAGATATGAGAATTTATTATAACTACCCTCTAGCATAGTTCCTTTCCTGGACTAAGTATATTTATATTATCTAAGTTATATAAATCACCTTCCATATAATGATCTCTCTTATTAAACTGTTTTGTCCTTAAAAGGCAAATTAACCCTATTCCAATTAGGGAAATATATGGGGGGGGCCCTAAGCAAAAATTGTAATGAAAAAATTTAACTAAAGTAAACATTTTTCAGTCATCTTTCATTGCTGGAAGCTATCATGCTTGAAGGCAAATATTTAAACCTTTGGCTATCTAGAAAAAAAAAGAACACAGAATAAGCCTAGCTCCTGTTAAAAAAAAAAGTTTCCAAATTTATGATATATGATCGTGTTGATGTAACAACATGTCAAATAAAAATTTTACCAATCCATGAAAAGTAACAAATCAGTCCTATAATACATGCTTATTAAAAAAGGCTTACTGTAACTGAATTTAGAAACAGAAGATAGAGGGAGAAGATATATGAGAATAAATCCTAAGTTTCATATGTCAAGCAAGTCAACATACATTATAATGTCTTCTGTTCTTATTCACACTAATAAAGGTATGCCTTGGTATGATGAATTTAATTTTTCTTCAGTACAAGTGATTTGGGTATTTGTTTTCCTGCTGCAGATTATAATTCCTTTTGCCTTAATGAGATGCTCTGACTGAAAAAAAATTTATTTACCTAGTGGCCATCTACTAATCAGCCTCCCTGAATTTATCTAGATTGGTCCTTGAATGACAAACAATTCATTGGATGCTCAAAAACCTTTCTAGCATCCAAAATCTTCTCTTTCCTCCCTCTTCTTCAGGATCTTAGAAACAGTATGACTTCATTAGGTTACCCACTACCCACTCAGATCCCAAAGGTGTTCTCCAGACAAATGTGAGGTGTAATCTCAAGATGCAATAGGAATAGGTAGACGGATAACAGTAATTAATATATTTGCCATTTTCTCCCCAACCCCAACACAGACATCCTTAGCCAACCCTTTCACCCACCACCTTCTTGGGTCATCATTTCCAAGGATGGAAGCAACAGACATAACTGCTATCAAAGTAACAGCACTAAAGATGCCAAAGAACCAGTCAAAAGGGAAAAAAAAATTCTAGACCATATCTTCAGCCTGGTGAAAATAGCAGAGGTCAGGAAGAAAGAAAGGTAGAAAAGTATGACTATACCATAAGCAAGTGTCACTAACAGTATGCTCAAGCAACTGAATGATAGATCATGTAAGTAAAAGTGATAAGTATTTCAAAGAGGATTGAACAGAACTCGAGTTTAAGGAGGAAGTGTACAGCAGAGAGGGTTTTGTCCATGCTGAAATTTCGGTGTGAAGGAAAATTTAAAAGTTCCTGTGTGTAGCTTTTTTGAAACACAATTCCAATGTGAAAAAAGAGAAAGAAGAGAGATGAAAAACAGCATAAGAGAGACAGGAGGCTAAGGAGCTGCTCTAAGATTTTGTGTAACTAGGGGATAGGAAATCTCTACAAATGGTTATATTTAGTTGGTGAGGGGAGTCAATGGCTCGGTGGCTTCAGAGTGGGTCAACTGCAGTGAAAAATACATCTCTATATCTTCTTTTCCCTCTTCCTTTACTCCAGTCCAGAAGATGAGGTGGTCCTTTTCCTGGCCAAGTCCATCCACTCCAACCTATGTTTTTGGAGCCCATCTTCTCTGGGATGTTGTCCCAAAAATACACTCACACTCTCACTCTCTCTCTCACTCTCTCTCTCTCTCTCTCTCTCTCTCTCTCTCTCTCTCTCTCTCTCTCTCTCTCTCTCCTTTAACCTCTAATCTCTCCCTGTTGCCATGCTATTGCCAATTAGTTGTCTAGCAACCTACAATTTGTCTATAATAGTTCACTGGCTCCTTACTGGCTCTTTAAAAAAATATATCCAACTCCTTAGCCTAGCATTTAAAACCTGATGCTGATATACCACTTCTTGCTTTATTTCACGGTGTTTACCATGAGACATACTATGGAAGAGCACCACTTATGATTCTCTGATCCAGGCCCACACTGTGCCATCTCCATGAATTTACAGAGGCTTATGTCATGCCCAAAATACACTGTCTCCTCATCCCTACTTGGTGACATAATTTTCTACCTTCAAGATCGAGCTCAGGCTGCTATTTCTTCTATGCTTTCCCTGATTCTTCTCCTGTCCTCTGCTCTCATCTTAATACTCAAATTTTCCTAAAGCAAAAGGTCTGAATCTTTACTTTTCCCCATTACACTTCACAGTTTACTATATTTTGATTTATTGGGTGATTTTAGGTAAGTCACTAAACTCTTCTATATCTTAGTTTCCTTACCAATAAAATGAGGATAATAGTATTTGCGCAATTCACTTTGGAAGGTCATTGTAAGGAAAATGCTTTGAAAACCTTAAGGTACTACATAAATATGAGTTATGAGCAAATGAGATAAGGTATGTAAAGTACTTTGCAAACCTTAAAGATCTACACAATTATGGGGTATTGTTATGACACTAATTTGTGCATATATCTGATCCACTCTCTAGATTTTAAGTTCCCTGAGGATTGTATTTGTTTTTTTTTTAATCTTTGCATAACTGCATCTATATACAAAGTCTCAATTTCCTCATTTGTAAAATGAGGGGGTTAGATTAGATGATCTTTGAGGGGTCTTCTATATTTGGCAATCACCTTATGATCCCTTAATAAATGCTAAATGAATTTCTATTACTGAGGATCCAGGACCAACACTCAATTTTGTAATTTCAGGAATCTAATTTTATTAGTTTGATAGGAGTTATCAGAGGCAGCATGGCATAGTGAAAAGGGCTTGAAGCTAGGAAGACTTGGGTTCGAACCCACCTTAGGTGGCCAAATCACTTAATGTTGTTGTGCCTCAATTTCCTCGTCTAGAAAATGAAGGGGTTGGACTCATTGGCCTTTAAGGTCCTTACAGTCCTAAACCTATGGATCCATGCTGCCCACAATCATAAGAGCCCTGATTTATAAGCCAATTTAAGCATAAGGCCAAGTCCCTAGATTAGTAATACCAAGAAGCTACATTTAGAATTGGCATAGATTTCCTTCAATCATAGCAATGAGTTCAACAGATTACTTTCCTCAATTGATTTCTTTCATTTTCTTCCATTAAAAACAAAAACCAAAGCTTCCAATGAAATGTTTTGAAACCTTATAGCAAAAAGTATTCCCCTTTACCTGTCAAGCATTTTTGTACTGGCTCGTTCCAACTTCTCCAATATCTGTGGTAGCTGGGTGTCATCATCACATGAACCACCCCAGCCAAGAACCCGAGCAAGGTCATTTCCTGTACCTAAGGGTAAGACTCCCAGCTGACACTGAAATAAAACACATTTGGGAGACCTTTAATTTAAAAAGCCTAGGAATAGAAAACCCTTCCTTTCTCCAGATGCTGTTTGCGTAATTACTTAACACAGTAAGTAACAGAAAAATTGATAAGAATTGGCAAAAGACAGGCACACATACTTGCCTGTTTGTGCAAGCTGAGTTTATCAATTTCCGACAAAACCCAGCCAACGCTTCCATCTCCTCCACACACAAGAATCCGGAAGTTGTCGAACTTCTGAAATAATCGTAAGCTGAAGGGGGAAATCGGTTCATTTTAGTAAGTCAACTAGTTCAGTGAAAAGTCTGACATTTCCCCAGAAGGACTGTTTTCATTAGTATAAACACAATTATTTTAGATTAATTACAGATAATTTTCTGGGTAAGCACATGAATAGTTCTAATGCAGTTTTGCACAACCTATATTCTTCTTAGAAGATAATAAGGGGAAAATACAAATAGGAGTGAGGTGAGAGATGAAATTAAGAAGAATAGAAAATGAGTAATCATATAAAGGAAAAGGAGACTAGGATAGAATACAAAAAGAAAGAAGATGGAAATAACATTTTTATATTTCAGAAAGAAAACAGTATTTTGGTTATTAATATTATATTTGAGATCACAGGTTCTTCACCTAGAGTCAGTTACCTTTTTTAAAAATATCATGATAATTGATATTCACTACAATTGTTTTCCTTATAATCCTATATATTTGATTTTATATATACATTTTTCTGAGAAGGGGTCCATAGGCTTCACCAGACTGACTGCTAAAGGGGTTCATGGTGCCAAAAAGGTTAAGAACCGCTGGGCTAGAGGTTTTTGTAGCCACTTAAGGTATCAAATGCCACCTGAGGCAAGTATTGTTAGCATTAGTCTACTATTTTCTACATACACACCGTTTTCTTTTCTCTTTTTTCCCCCTTTTTTAATTCTGCTCTCATTCTCGTTATTTCACTTTTCATTCCTAGTATATTTGACCCTACAGATGGATCTGTCGGTGCCACTGGTTTGCCTTGCTAAGTTGGTAAACTTTCCTAGGGAAACTTTTGTACAAAATCATTAATAGAGAGCCAAGAGTTCATATATTTTTTTCTTAGCAGGCAATGGGGAGTTACAGAAAGTTTCTGAATTGAGGGATGAGGTCATCAGAGTGGCACAAAACATCAACAACTGTGTAAAGAAGCAATCAGCATAGGACAGGAGTCAGCAAGACCAGCTGGGGGCTATTACAGGAGTTTAATGAAACAAGTCTGAAGAGCAGCGGGTACAGTGATTTAGGTTAATCAGTAGCACCCACGGCCACTTGCTTAGCATAGCTGGAATTACCTAGAGTATACAGATTCATATTTCAAATAACATGTCATCCTCTAACAATACTTTTGAAAAAAAAAAACAAATATGCACACAAGTGCTTTTATTTCTTGGAACGTCTATATTTTTGGCCACCCCAGAGAAAAGGTATAAATATACAATTGCAAAGCATGGATGGTAGTAAATCGAGTACTCTTGCTATTGATATAATGGCAAACTTTTTAAGGTTATTAGTGAATAGGAACACCAAAATTAAATGCTGAAGAGAAGCAAAATATGTAGTCTTAGCCCAAGCCTATATTAATTACATTGAAAGAAGGGGATTACTGGACACCTAAGTAATCTGTTACTCAGGTGTTCTAAGCTGTTGTAGTAAGACAATACTTTCAAATGATATCATATTGTTTTAAATAGCTTATAGGTTCACTTACGAAATAAGCTTATTCTAAGAGTATGCTTGTACTTGCCTCAATGGAACAATGTGGGTAGAGTAATTTGGAAATGTTAAGAGTTACCTTGTTTTGGAGGTATATTGAACAAACAAACAAAAAAAAGACCCACATCCAGTTCTAGAAAAGGTATAAAAAGTATTTGATATCATTAGACCATACCAGAGTATTGCCACTTTTATTGAGAACATAGAAAATATTACTCTAAAAATGGGAAAGTAAGAAAAATCACAAAAAAACCAAAATACATCTTAATGAAGTTTAATTATTGCCTCCATCACAAATATCTCATGAGAACTAATCATTATGTCTTGAAACTATTTTGAATTCTTTTGGACAAAATGCAATATAAACATGATCTCAATAAAAAAATAAATTACAATATTGCTTTCAAAATAAAAGAATAAGAAGAATGCTCCAAGCCCTCCATGAGGGCTTTTTAGCATTTTTGCTTCCTTTTAGGGGAGAATATTATTTTTAAAAATTGGAATTTAGTGAGGAAAAATTATCACATTAATACTTTTTTTTAAGTAAAATCTAAGCCAGGCAAATTCTATAAAGCTACTAAATAAATTGAACAGGGATAGGGACTGACCTGTGATTTCATTGTTATAAGAATTACCAGATGAGAAAATTTCCTCTAGTGATACAGGTATATGCCTTCTTTGAAACTACAAGTCTTAAGAGAATTGCCTTAAGAACTTACAGGTTAGGGGCAGCTAGGTGGCACAGTGGACGGAGCTCTGGCCTTGGAGTCAGGAGGACCTGAGATCAAATTTGGCCTCAGACACATGACACTTACTAGCTGTGTGACTCTAGGCAAGTCACTTAACCCTGATTACCTCACCAAAAACAAACAAATAAACAAAAACAAAAAAGAGGGGGGCAGCTAGGTGGCACAATATATAGGGCACCATCCCTGGAGTCAGGAGGACCCGAGTCCAAATCTGATCTCAGACACTTGACACTAGCTGTGTGACCCTGGGCAAGGGTAACCCCATTGCCTAGACAAAAAAAAAGAAAAAGAAAAAAAGAAAAAAAAAGAGAACTTACAGGTTAAGTGCCTTGCTCTGGGTCACATTGCCAGTATGTGTCACTGGCAGAACCTGAATCCAGGTCTTCCTGGCTTCGAGACTGGCTTTCTACCCACTATGCCATGCTGCTTCTCAAAATGAGGAAAGAAAGGTAAGAAAAATGTTTGAAAAGGCTTTGCAAAGTGACAAAGCAATTTATAAAAATACAAACATATAGATATAGAACCATACAGATATATTGTATACATTAATAATAATTCTAATTCCTAAGCATTTCTTTCACTTGCAGGGCTTAGAATAGTAATTCATGTGCAGTAGACATTGCATAAGTATTGAAAAAGCGTACTGTAATATGCAGGTGATGACTAAGTGCTTTCACATGATAAAGAACTTCATTTTGAGAAAAGAAATAAAAGAAGTTATTCTGAGAGGTACAGCAGGCCTGGAGAAAGGTAAATATTTTTCTTAGTTTTGAAGGAAAAAAAAGAAAGAAAAAGGACTTTGCAGTCCTCAGGCCAGTAGGACTTTAACTTCTGCAAAATCCTAAAAAGTAATATTAGCGATGGTTGGAAAAGGAAGAGGACACAGAGATTAGGTCATTCCAGGATCATCTGATGCCATTTTCTGACACGAGTTTGTTACAATAGAAAGATTTCTAGTTTGATAGATCAGAGAGATATGGCTATAGTTTATAGTTTACAGATATAGTATATAGTTTATAGATTTTAGCAAAGTATTTGACAAATCTTCTCATGCTATGCTTGTGGAAAAGATGGAGGAACATAGGCTAGGCAGTAGAATAATTAATTTATAGAATGGTCGTCATTAATGATTCAGTGAAGGCCAGACTAGGAATGGGTGCAAACAGCAAACAGGCAATTTTAGGTATAATAAAAGGAAAAGCTTCCTAACAATTACAGCTCTCCAGAAGTGTGATGAGCTGCTTCAAGAAGAAGCAGAGTTTCTCTTGCTGGAAGTTTTCAAACAAAGGTTGATGATCATTTGCGAGATACATTAGATTGATGGTGTGGTCTTTTCTAACCTCAAGATACTGTCACTCTGTGATCTCAATGCAAAGATGCATCTGAATTGGGAGGAATGGAAAGGGCATAAATATTTCCATGTGAAATTGGTGTTTAAAGAAGTAAGAGCAACGCAGTTTAGGGAATTAATAGTCCAGAGGTGAAAAGAACTAATGAACCAATCAGACATATCATTTGCTATGGATCTCAAAATTTCAACCTTTTAAAATTATATAGTGAATAAATACTTATCAGTATTCTATTTTCATAGGGGATGGGCAAGACAATAGACTGGAAATAGATCCTGATCCTACTTCTGATAATACTGTTGTCTCATCAGGTATTGACCCAAGTCATTAGAGTTCTACAAGGTGCAGAGGAATAGACCAGATCACCAGAAACAAAATAATAATTTGATTGTGAATATCTTTCCATCAAATGCTCTAGATCACATTATGCCCCATAATCAAGTATGTGGACCTTTATATTACCTAATTTTAATACAAGTACCCTATTCACTACTCTGTACACTTGAATGAACATGAATACTTTCTCCCATGGTGCAGATCACAAATCATCCACACCTCATTTAAGGGGGACTTTTGCCCATGACCTCCAGTAAATCTGCTAGTGCTATTGTGCTCTGATATGCTGGAGAACTTTCTCTCCAATGTTCAGGAGACCTTTCTCCAGTTCTCTTGATATTACTTGGAGATTACTGCAGCATCAGGGCTGTCTGTTATAACTCATTCTCTCAAAAGGACAGGACCATTACTTGCTGTAATCATAAATCTCTGGTGAGATCTATCATACCTCTTTTCGTGGGAAGTTCATCATTAGTAGAATGCTACTGCCAAGTGAAACTCACTCTGTCTCTCACCATTATCCTTTGGATTTGGCAGCTAGGTGGTACAGTGGATGGAGCTCTGGGATTAGAGTCAGGAAGATGCAAGTTCAAGTCTGGCTTTAGACACTAACTTACTAGCCATGTGACCCTGGGCAAGTCACAACCTCTGTCTCCTTCATTACCTCAACTGTAAAATGAGAGCTTTCAGGGTTGTTATGAGGATCAAATAAGATAATATTTATTAAGTAATTAACACAGGTTTTGGCGCATAGTAGGTACTTGATAAATGTTTGTCCCCTAGGCTCCACCCCAAGCCCATTTTAGGTTACTGATCATTTTGATTTCTTAGGGCACTGTAGTAATCCATAATTTGCAGCCACATAACATCATTGGAAGAATAATGGTTTAAAAATAAAAGATGTGTTTCTATTTCAGGAAGAATCTTAGGGCCCCTGTAATAATAGCAGTAATAATAATATGATATTTTTTCTGGAGCACTGTGCAGTTTCCTAAATGAAATCCAGCCTGCTCTTTCCTCCTATTCGTTTCTAGGCTGAGTTCACTGCAGCATATGTCTAAGATATATGTATCAATGGACCACTTTTAGAGCTGTTCTATCTGATTGTATATAACAAACTGAGCAATTGGGATTTTTCATGCATGAAGCTTTTTCTCGGTGGATAATAAAGCCAGAATGATTAAAAATCTCATTTAGGAAGCTCTGAAATGTTGCAAGACATGATACAAATCAGAACAATATAAAAATTTTCAAAGAAGAGTTTGTAGACGACTTTAGCCACTACAGAGAAAGGATTCTCCTCTTCAATTTGGACTCTAAATTAGAAATCCTCTGTGACAGTGCCAAACAAATTGGTATGCAGATAATGTCATGTTTTGTAAGACAGCCATTGAACAGTCATCGTTATCATTCCAGGAAACTTTTATGATCTTAATATATGCATGCGAAACCCCTCATTGAAGAAAAGCTTTTAAAGCATGTTCTCTACCAAATCAAATAAGAGTTTTTTTGTAGCTAACAAACAAGGAATACAATGACCTCATATCATTTTTACATTTTAGTCAAATATGTGACTTGAAAGATGCATTCTGCTTAGGACTATTATTTGTAAAAGCCATATTCACTTCTCATATCTTCACTAAGGATGCTCTCAACAGAATCTCTAGCTTCATTCTAAGCTCAGCCCTTCTTCCTATGCAAATATCTTATTTAATCCTATAGCTGCTAATATTCCCTCTCCTTCTTTACATTATTTTGTTTTTATTTCTATGTGTATATTGCACTGGCTCTCCCCAATAGAATGTAAACTTCCTATGGGTATGGCCTACTTTACTTTATATCTTGGTAGCCTCAACAGTGTTTCACCTATGGTGAATACTTAATATGTTTGCTGAATTCAATTGAAATGTGTGTAAAACAATCTCATCGAGAATTAATAGTGATGAGAAGGTAGGTATGTGAGTCTCAGGTTACTGATTTCTTTTCCATCACATTGTTTCAGCAATAATAACAGGTATGTTTTTTCTAATCATATGATATCTTCTCAAGTATCTTGAGAACTCAATAGATGTAGAAGAAGCTTTTGACAAACTACAACACCCATTCCTATTAAAAACACTAGAGAGCATAGGAATAAATGGAGTCTTCCTTAAAATGATAAGCAGCATCTACCTAAAACCTTCAGCAAGTCTCACATGTAATGGGGATAAGCTAGTAGCATTTCCAATAATATCATGGGTGAAACAAGGATGTCCATTATCACCACTGTTGTTCAATATGGTATTAGAAATATTAGCTTTAGTGATAAAAGAAGGAAAAGAAATTGAAGGTATTAGAATAGGCAAAGAAGAAACAAAGCTATCATTCTTTGCAGATGATATGATGATATACTTAGAGAATCCTAGACAATCAAGTAAAAAACTACTTGAAATAATAAACAACTTTAGCAAAGCTGCAGGTTATAAAATAAACCCACATAAATCATCAGCAGTTCTATATATTACCAACAAAGCTCAACAGTAAGAGATAGAGAAATTCCATTTAAAGTCACTGTAGACATTATAAAATATTTAGGAGTCTACCTGCTGAAACAAACCCAGGAACTCTATGAACACAATTACAAAACACTTTTCACACAAATAAAGTCAGATCTAAATAACTGGAAAAACATCAGTTGCTCATGGGTAGTCCATCCTAATATAATAAAAAGGGCAATTCTACCTAAGCTAATTTACTTATTCAGTGTCATACGACTCAAACTACTGAAACGTTTTATAGAGCTAGAAAAAATAATATAAAGATTCATTTGGAAGAACAAAAGGTCCAGAACATCAAGGGAACTAATGAAAAGAAATGTTAGTGAAGGTGGCCTAGCTGTTACAGATCTTAAATTGTATTATAAAGCAGCAATCATCAAAACTACTTGGTACTGGCTAAGAAATAGAGTGGTGGATCAGTGGAATAGGTTAGGAATGCAAGACACAGTAGTCCACGGCTATGGTAATTTACTATTTGATAAACCCAAAGACCCCAGCTTCTGGGATAAGAACTCACTATTTGGCAAAAACTGCTGGGGAAACTGGAAAAGAGTATGGCAGAAATTAGACATAGGCAAAAATCTTATACCAAGTATCTTGAGAACTGATTCCATAATGCCTCTAAAATTATGTGAATTCCAGTTGAAACTTTCTCTCTGCCGTTTCTCTGGTCTAGCTGCTCATCTCATCTTTGTTTTCTTTCATGTCCTTTTTACTTCCTCATGTGACATACTGAGAACAGATCTATCATAGTTCAAATGTGGTAGTTCTGCTATCATTGATGGAGAAAACATCTTGTTTGAGAAATCTTGAATGTTCTTTTCCATTTTTTCCCTATGGTTATTCTCCTGGTTTATCCTTAAATGCTCTTGACATGATTTAACATAATTGGGTCTCATATCAAGTTTTTTATGACCTCATTTTTCTCTCAGCCACATCTGGGAGTACTACGAGGCAAAACTGGTCATAAATTTCCCCTATCCTCCTCCATAATACATTATAAATACATTTACATTCTAAATTGATATTATTAGTTGCCATATCTCTCCATTTGGTAAAAAGATCAACTGTTTATTGGCTGCAGTGGTCTCTAAATGTTTGGACTCCTGTCATACCAACTGCCTTCTATTTATACTGACATTTCTTAAGAAATGGTAATACTACATCTTGATTTGTGTTCCTCTATCCATTTCCCATATAGGTCAAGTTGGAGCTATTTGAAATGCATGATAAATCTCAATTTTATCTTCTAATTTGTTGTTAGTTGTGATCTCTACTGTATACACTCAATTGTATACATACAGACAGCTGATTCAGAAAGGACTTTAACATTAGTAAGTTTTTGCATCTTGTAGCTGCTTCCCATTTGTTAGGCTATAGTTATTTCATTTTTTTGTGATGGTATTTGGTGACTGTCATGTCTATTATCTCCCAATCTTCTTCTCGAATAAAATATTCATAATCTATAGACATGCATCAACTAGCCCAATGCCTTCTTTTTATAGATGGGGAAAGTTACGCCAAAACAGGAGAAGTGACTTGCACAAGGTCACATAGGAAGCAAATGACAGAGCTAAGATTCAAAAATCAGGTTCTTTCACTACCAACCCAACTCTTTTCCCACTGTACCATATTTTCCAACATATTTTTTTTACCACCTTCCCTTATGCATACCTTTCCATGATCATGGAAGTGTTTTTGCTTATGCTAAGGTGCTTATGGCACCTTAGAGGACCAACTGTGCCATAAGATTTTTAAATCTGGGCTTTGGCTGCAGGATAAAATCAACTCTGCCACCTCCATTGTTTGCCTCTGAAGGAGAACATGGAAGTCATTCTTTTATTTAATGGTGAGAATATCAATATTGAAATGGTTCCATTCTTCTAGTAACATGTCAACTCAGCAGTCACTAAGTGACCTCTGTGACCCTGGAACTCCCATTTACAGTGACAACAGAAAAATCAATGTTTCTAGATGGTCTAAAGAACAGCTTCTTAGCATGTTATGTTCCCTTTTCCGAAAGTTGCCAGTACCACTGCAGAAGTCGAACAGACCATTTTATAATTTTCTTTGTTTCATGGGTTATGATGACCAAAAACTTATTATCATTTAGTAGCCGGACCCTCCATATTTAGCTAGACTGATCAACAGCTATTGCTAGAACTCTACTCAAAGTCCTTTCATCATGGTAGAACCTACCAGAGCTTGGTTTTTACTGATAGCCTTTGGGAGCACAAGGTTATCTTGACAACACAACAGTGAGATACTAGAATAGATGTTTTATGAAAGTATTGTTACATACTGAGGCAAACTGTAGTAGTATACTATATACAGTTTATATAATTAGAAATCAATGAATGTTTTCTAAAGTTAAGAAAACTGACATAGCATTACTGCATATAATTACTAAGTGGAAGGAACTCCTTGAGAGTTAGCCAAATTCTGAGAAATTAAAAAACTTAAAATTTAATTAATCTATATAAATCTCCAAAATATTAATAAACATCTAGAATTTAATTATTTCCTTTAAAATAAAAATCCATCGTTTATCTATATCTGTTTTTAGATGCACCTACAATAGCGATGGCAAACGCATGAAGTGGGAAGGCAGATTAAATTTCATATTTTATACTAGGATTTATTGAAAGAAGATTTCTCAATAATGCATAATGTATTACCCCAAGTGAGGTCCTCCATTTATTAAATCAAACACCTGAGCAGGATTTAACAACTGCTTAAATCGACGGAGGAACTTTACTCCCTGATTATCTCCACTTTTAGAGTTGACAAATACCAAAAGAGGACTAGCACGACATGGTGGAGCTGTTGCTTTCCAAAATCCTGCAAAAACATATACAGCAAAATCAGTAAAGATGGCTTTCCTGTTTAAATAGCAGTAAATCAGAGAAAGAAGAAATGTCAAAATTCAGAAAAATACTATTAGCTGAATATTATCTATTATTTGAATATTTGAAATAATTAAACCACAACATAAGCTATATCTTACTTCAGTTTTAAAAGGTGGTTAATGGCTATTGTCTGTGTATAATTAACACAAGAACATACTATTTTTTTTGTATTCTAATGCTCAGCAGCAAAAGATTTCACAATACTAAGGATAAAAATCAGTAGTAGCTACCATTTCTATCTGTTTTGAACAGAGGCCAATTAAATACATTTTTAGAGAACTAATTGACCTCTTCTAGGAATATTGACTTTTTTACAACATATAGATTTAAGTTTAGTTCACAATTCATTTATTATTCAATAAAATGTTTATCTCCTTTTCTATTCCCACATCTTGTCTAAATAACTATTCTTTTATTTGGAATGACTTCAACATAAATTTGATAAGATCTGGCTTAAGATTACATATATTTAAAAATGATGTAAGTCAAATTATACTCTTTGAAAATGAGAAACAATTTTCAGAAATATAAAGCACCATATCAATGCCATATAATAAGATGATTATAATAGTATAGATAAAGTCTCATACTAATAATATAAGGTTGAAATACTATATATATGGGCAGCATGATGTATAGTAAAGAGAGCAAGCCTCAGAATTAGGAAGCCCTGGATTCAAGGCCCACTTCTGACACATACTGACCATATGACTGGGTAAGTCCTATAACCTCTCAGTGGCCCCAAGACCACTCTCTAAGACTGTAAGTTGTAGAGCAATTGATGAACTGCATTGGTATAGGGAATTTTCTCAATCAGATGTACCCCATACCCATGAAACAACAGTTCCAGTCAAAAAACAAAACAAAATGCAATCATATAACATGTTCAAGCTTTAATGCAAGTAGTTAGTAGTATCTTCTATCCTCCACATTATAAAGAACAAAGGTACTTAGTTTTGTATTTTGTATTTAGAGCCAAGTTGTGCCATTCTTAAAAGAGAATTATGATGGAAATTATATAATACTTGATAATTAATTTAAAAATAACCCCAAAATCATGCAGTCAGGTTTTTTCATAGTTCTTTTCAAGCAATAATCAATAATGATCTTATTTTAACTATTAATATGAATATGGTAACAAATGATGCATATGAAGATTTCACAGAAAAGCAATGGAATTTTAGAACATTAATGTTTCTATCAATTCATAATTTACAGATCATTTTCCTGCTTAAATGGTTTAAATGAAAGGACAGAGAAACTAATTTTAGAATAAATAATGGCAGTTGTGTGAATTAAACAAAAATATACATATGCACAATAATTACATGTCAAGAATACTCATAACTTACACTATTACATACCATCAGAATCTATGCTGTTCAGTGCAATCGGGGGTATGATAGATACCTTACATTGGTCAAGTGGACATTTATAAGGAAACAAATCTTTGCAGGCAGTGTGTACCTAATAACAAATAAAGTCTGATAAATACCAGCAAAAGAGATTCAATTCCTTAACAACTAATAATATATATTACAAATATAAGCAAGCACATATCACAAAAGGTCTAATTATTTGTAATAGATTCTAGTTCAAGGGTATCCTACTCAATATCAAATCATAGCTTCTAAAACGCCAATAATTTGGTAATTAGCATCCTTTTTCAGTATCTGCTATACATGGAACTCCCCCTACTCCCCCCTGACAAGACTTACCTTAAAACTTCACTAAGACTTTGAGAACACCCCACATATTCACTACATTACGCCAAGTCAGATGCTTAACCTATAGGTCATAGTTTTATGATCTGGAAGATAAATAAACCTGATACACTAAATAAAATTTCCAAGAGAGAAAAAAAACAAGGTTTAGGTGATAGCTGCTAACACTTAGAAGAGATGCAATGTTTCACGAAATAAACACAAAAAACTAACTCTAATCACTTAAACCCAGACCTTAGACACTTAGATAAGTATTAATTTACTTAATAAGACCTTTGTGGTTTAAAAGAGTTTGTGTACAAGGTCCCCTGAGATCAAGGGTGTATGCGTGCGTGCGTGCGTGTGTGTGTGTGTGTGTGTGTGTGTGTGTGTGTTCCCATTGAAGAGCCATAGCCTTTAAACATATTGTCTTGATTTTTTTAATTTTCCCACCAGTCCTTTTTGTGAAATATCCCCACACTGCCCTCACTTTCATATTGAATTCTCTCTTGCAACAAAGAAAAAAAAGTGAAAACCTTCAATGCAACAAATGCTTCTAATAATGTATACAACATTTGAGCCAGGCTTTTAAATTAATAATAGACATGAAGTCTCCACAACTTAGAAATATAATTGTGGTGTCAAATACCTGGAATATTATACCATTTCATTCTAATTTGTGTAAAAAAATTGAAAAATAACAAACAATAAAAGTGGTTACTTTGAAGAAACCGATGTACAAGGAAAAGAATATTTTGAGGGAAATTGTGATAAAAATAAAAGTAATCCTGATTTTTACATACAGTTTTTATAGTTAGTTTAGCATCAGACTTTGTATTTCAAAAGTATCACATTAAAATCTAGAAAGCATGCTTGAAAAAGCAAATCACCACCTCTAGCAAGTAGCAAAGGTTGTCATTCTAGGATTCTTTGGAAACTCCCAATACAGATAAGATATATGATATGTGATATAAGATATATGATATATGATACAGAGATCATAAGCCCTTCATGCCTCTGCAAATTTTTTCAAGAATTGTTATGGTACAACATGACCAATATGGAAATAAGTTTAATGTGATTGTATACGTATAACCTATATCAGATTGCTTGCCATCTTGGCGGGGGGGGGGAGTGAGAGGGAGAAAAATTTGAAACTCAACATTTTACAAAAATGAATGTTGAAAATTATCTTTACATGTAATTGCAATTACTACTAAGAAAAAAATTGTTGTGGTTAAAAAAAATACTCATTACTTGCTACGCACAGTCTGGTGACAGGTCTCTGTTAATTTAGAATGGTTCTCTGACAACAAGTACAAACTGTCCTGGGATTTTAAATCTTTCCAGGATGATTGCATCTTGCATGACTTGTGTTCCCATTAGTACATGTCTTTAAGAACCCAGAATTATCCTCATACCACCATATGTTATCAGATCGGAACTGGAGTAGAGGCAAAAATCCTTAATGCAAAGAATAATCCATATCCATATGAAATATATGATCTATAATTATAGGGAGGCATATTTATAAAGGCTTTAGATGGCAAAGGGCTACTCACGCTTAAATAGCATCTCTATGATTAGCTCAGCAATGCCCTGGGTTCTCTGTCTTGCTTACAAACTTTACAATATTAAAGACAAAATGAGAAAATATAAAAACAAAAATCAAAGAGAAATACAAAAAATGAAAATAGATGTCAAGCAGCTTTATATGCCACAGTAAGAAACACCTACCATAGCTTTACACCAAAGGCACTTCCAATCTTGGAGACGTAGGACGCTGCCACAGGTTTTATCGCAGACTGCACATTTGGCACTAACAGGCAAGTTGCCTTCCAGCCATTGATGAGGCATGGCTATCTGTGAGCCAAGGGAGAAGAAGGAAGACTGAATTAGATAGTACAGAAACAGGCAAAACAAACTCAGAATTTAAAAATCACTCACATTAATCTCCTCTTTGAATTAATTTTATATGTAAAAGTAACTAAGTTAAGAAGTATTCAAGTCCATAGACTTTATGAATAGCGGCTTCAGGCATAAGAAAGTAATCTTTACTTTGTATGTTATGCACCAACTATTTCTAGCAAAAAAAAATCTTTTTTTTAATCCAGCCTTTTTATTCATATCCATGTCCACACACACTGCAGTGAGCAATGTTATCTTTGAACATGAAGAGATATACATACATATAAACACAGGTGCACACAGTCAGCCTTTATGCCTGCCAAAAAGAAGAAAGGATTTTCCAATCTTATTCCATGTGTGCAAGAAGGAGAGAAGGGTCCTTTCTTTGCTATCATGTAGGTTATCTTCTACATTATTAGCGCTTATAAATAGAATCATTTAATATGGACAAATGGTATACATAATTAAAAAGTCTAGATAGTGCACTCCTCCTAATGCACACGTGGAGAAAAGTACCACTCTCTCACAGGGACAGAATGAGTAGCATTGAAAATGAAAATCTGAGATTTCTAAAACTTTTTTTATTATCCTTCTCAAAAAAAAAAAAGCTCAATTTAAATGCAATTTGTGCAAATGCAAGAGTTGTAAGAAAATGAGTACAAGTATCATTACAATCTAGAGCATATGCTTTCTTTGTTAATCTAACTTTAAATTTAAAAAAAATTTTTAAGTGGTCATTTCAATTTATTAAATTCTAATAGATGGTAATAGATAAATACAGGTAGCTGTATTTAAATTTAAATTTTTTAAAGTGGTCATTTTAATATATTAAATTCTAACAGATGATAACAAGTAGATAAATACAGGTAGCTGGTGTATAGCTAGTTGTTTAATATTCACAAAGTATTTCTTACACATTTTCAAATTTCATCTTAGGCTTCAGTTAGAATGGCAGGAAATCAGTAAATGTTTAATAATGCATGGTTTATAAACTAGTTGGCACATTTCTAAATAAGAAGCGGCTGGGAATAAGGAGCGACAGCTAGCCATAAACTTCTTTTTTTTTTTTTACTCCTCTGCCTCTATAATGGATTTGAATGATTCCTAGAAACACCTCCCACAAAACCCCACAACTTTTCAGCACTGCCCAGGAGCCCGGTACCCTCAGAATCTGCCAGGACTACCAGGTAGAGCTACTCCATCCCTGCAGTTAGAAAGCAACAGGCTAAAAGGAAGCTGTGCAAAATATTGTCTTGCTTTTTCATCAAGCCAAAAGCAAATGGGCAAATACTACTATTGCACTACACAACACATTTCTTTGTTAACTCCTCTGAGAAATATTCCTTCAAGATCTCAGAGTGCTCAGAGAAAGCTGAAATGAAACTAAAAATAAAAAAGGCTCAAAATAAATACTACTAATAACCTCATCCTGATTCTAGAACAAAACTTATGCTTGATGAAAGCAGAGATATTGCTCAGTCAAGAGGATCTGTTTCCCAAAGAATTCAGATGATTAAGTGACTTATTGAATTTAGTAATTACTGCCCCCACTTAATTCTGAATTCTATTTGTCTAATGCAGAAAACATGCAAGTCTGGTTGCAGGAATCATCTAAAACAGGCAAAGGAGAAACTTACACCATCTTCATCCTCAATGATGTCTTTCCCAATGGAAGCTAGAGTAGTCCATTTACAGTTATTTGTTGCCCTCACTGCACATCTTTTGTGTGCTTTGAACTTACACACTAAAAAAAAAAAGCATATATACACATCAATCATTCCTAGTGCAAATTATTCCATGAAATTAATTTCAACAGACACTAGAAAAAAAAATAAAACCATATAATTCAGATATAAAACTTTAATTCTAGTTTTGTCACATATATACAGTCATCATATTATGTATGTATTTATGCCTAGACATTTAAAATTAATAATTCTCACTTACATAGCACTTTACAAAATCCTGCCTTGCACAAGGATGCTATGAAAAGAGTAATATTATTCCCATTTCACAGAAGAAAAAACTGAGACTCAGAAATGAAATTATTTTTTCAAGGTCATACAACATTGAAGCCTAAATTTCAGTTAAGGTCCTCTGGCTTCCACGCATATGGCTCTATTGCTACTTTATCACATTACTTTTTTTAGGAAGTTATTACCAGAATATAAAAGTGTCATACTCCTTAATGGGGACATAGAAAAGAAATACGCAGTTAATTTCCATCTTATCTGGGATAAAAGGAGGGGTGGAATACCAGATTACTTTTTTTAAGGGTAAGAGAGAAGAAAATCCAAATTAATAAGAAAAGTTGAAGAAAGATTTTTTTTTGCAAATATGCCAGAAAAAAAATTAATCTTAAGGATGATAACTAATAAAAACATGATTGGGAGTCAGAAATAGAGCATTATAACTTAAAGTCATTATTCTAGCATATCTAAGTGGTAAATATGAAAGACAGGCACAATGATGTAATTCTGCCACCAAATTCATCACTGCAAAGAATCTCATTAGGGCATGATATCCAGTACTATAAACAAAAACCACAATCAATCAATCAATAAGCATAAGCACTGGGCTATGTGCTTGGAAGACAAAGAATCTAAGCAAAGAGAAACAACAGGTGTGTGTGTGTGTGTGTGTGTGTGTGTGTGTGTACGTATATATCTTAGTATACACAAAATAGGGCATCTAGGTGACAGTGGATAGAATGCCAAAAACGTAAATATAACAAACAAATATATTTAGGGGCAGCTACGTGATATAGATAAAGTGGCAAGCCTGGAGTCAGGAAGATTCATCTTCCTGAGTTCAAATTCAGCCTCAGACATGCACTAGCTCTATGACCCTGGGCAAGTCACTTTGCCCTGTTTGCCTTACTTTCTTCGTCTGTAAAATGAGCTGGAGAAGGAAATGACAAACCACTCCAGTATCTTTGCCAAGAAAACCCCAAATGGGGTCATAGAGAGTTGCACAAGACTTAAAATGACTGAACAACAACAAAATAGAAAGGGCCTTGGAGAGGAAGGCACTGATATTTGCAAGGATCATGAAAGGCTTCAAGTAGAATGTGCTGCTTAAGCTAAGCCTCGAAAGACGCTAGGGATTCTATGAGGCAGGAGTAAGGAAGGCACACTTTCAAGGCATGAGGAGAGAGGACTCCAGGTGTGAGGTTCAGTAAGGAAGTCAGTTTTGACTTTGTAGCCCCAGGGCTTGGTCTACTGCCTGGCATAGAGTTGGTGCTTGCTTAATAAACGTTTATGGATTGACTCACTGATTAGCTATAGTGTGTATACACACACACACACACACACACACATTGTATATACTGTAATGTATGTATGAAAGGAAGCAATATGTACCAAAGCTGGAAAAGGTAAAATGAAGTTAGGTGGCAGAGGGCTTTAAATAACAAAAAGGGAGTTTGTCTTTGATCCTATGGGTAACAGGAAGCACATGGTGAGGTTTCAATGGAGAGTTTTTGCAAAAAGAAAGTGTCCAATGATACGCTACATGAGCTGAAAGCTGGAGAATAGAATAATATTAACAGTGGGTGGCATCCAATTAGATCATTGTTGGCTGTTAAGGAATGGAATTTAAAAAGCAAATTAATTAAATTTGCTACAATATTTCTTCCCACTTTCAGAAGTATCTTTCCTTTTTTAAATATATTTTATTTATGCAACTAGGGAAAATAAAATACTAAATAAATTTTAAAATGTTTTATTTACTTTGTTAAATAGTTACATGTAAACACATTTTTAACATTCATTTTAAAAATTCTGAATTCCAAATTCTCTCCCTCTTTCCTATCCCTCCCCTACCCCTTGGGGAGGCAAGCAATATGATATCGATCATACACTCAAAGTTCATTGGTTCTCTCTCTGGAGGTGGAAAGCATTTTTCAGCATGAGTCTTTAGAAACTGTCCTGGATCATTGTCTTGGTCAGAGTAGCTAAGTCACTCACAGTTTAGCATCATTACAATATTGCTCTCACTGTGCACAATGTTCTAGTTCTGCTCACTTTGTTTTATATAAGTTCATATAAGACTTTCCAGGTTTTTCTGAAATCATCTTGCTCTCACTTCTTATAGCCCAATAAATGGTATTCCATCACAATCATATACTACAATGTGTTCAGCTTTTCCCCAATTAATGGGCAAGTCCATCTGCCTCCTCCCACTTCCCCACACACACATTAAAAAAAAAATACACACACATACAAAATTGTTCAGATGACCTGAAATTGGACGGGCAGCCCACTGAGTTAGGCCATAAGTACACATGCCTTGGACAAATACTAGAATTTGACAATAAACTAGATCCAAAATGTAACAGGAAGAAATCATCTCCAGCTGATCCTTGACACAAAAATTCCCTTTTTTGTCATCATTAATCTTCAGATTATGACATAAGGCTATCAGTTACATCCCCTTGCCCCCAATCTTTGAAGAAGGAAAACAGCTGATGATTCTAAGGGCAATGGTGAGCTCTTTGGTGAAGATAAATAGGACATACCATATTGCTAATTATGACACATTGATAGAAGTGGTGTAAGAATACTATCTGAGAAATGCAGAATCAGAAAAGAAGGTATATTGGTCAAAGAGTCACAGCAAGAGATAACAGATAGACAGCCATAGTGCTTTCCTGGTACCCACAGAAGGTTAAGAGATCAAAGAGAAGGCCTCTAGTAGATTCTGTAGATGGCCTATAGAGGATTTCATAAAAGATGTGGGTAAAAATAACCAGACAAAGAAGTCATGGATGTTATCATCTACCTCCTCAGAGGAAGTGTCCACATCAGTGAGATCATGATCTATTCAAGTATTGATGTAATGACTATTAAAAGATAATTCCCCAAAACTATGTTGATATTTTTTCAGACAAAATCAAAATCATCAAATAAAAATAAAAATTAAAAAAAATCAAAATCATGGTAATGTGCTTCCTGTATCATATTATTAGCATTCAGTAAATATTAAACCAGGCAGCTAAGTGGCACAGGGGATAGGATGAGGGCCTGGAGTCAAGAAAACTTGAGTTCAAGTCCAGTCTTGGACCAAGTCCAGTCTTGGACCTTACTAACTGTGTGACCCTGGGCAAGTCACTTAACCCTGTTTGCCTCAGTTTCCTCATCTGTAAAATGAGCTGGAAAAGGAAATGGCAAACCACCCTGGTATCTTGGCTAGGCAAACTCCACATGAGGTCACAGAGTCAGATACGACTGAAACAACTCAACAACAAAGGTGTAAAGTCATTATGAGTGACTTAGGGATGCAGTGTGATACAGAACTCACCAGAAAAAGCTTTAGATATGGAATCATAGGACCTGAGTTCAAATCCCAGCTCTGCCACTTACTGTGTGACCTCTGAAAAGTCATTTCCCCTTTCTTGGCCTCAGTTTCCTTATCCATAAAACTAAGAGGGGAGCAGGGTAGACTAGATGACCTCTAATGTCATTTCCATATCTAAATCTATAGTACCATAATACTAAATTTTTAATAGTGGCTGAACAGATAATATTGATTAAAAAATAAACCACCATCATGACAAAGACACTTCGAAATCTTTTGTTAACCACCTTCTCAATTCACTTGATAGATTATTCAGGAAATATTTCTTTTTTCTAATATAAATAATTTAAATAATCCTTACTATATAGGAAGCTTGAAAATGATAACTCTAGTTATTCTTAATTATAGCCAAATAAAACAGATGAGCATGGTCCACAAGTAGGACCCAAGGTAGAAACGTTAAGTAATTTCCAAAGGTTCCATAAATCAAGAACACTTTGTCAATAATGCTACCCCGACATAATCAAAAGGTAAACTACAGTGTTTTGTAGGATTTTATGAAATTTCCCAAGGGTCCAAGAATACTAATAAGCAATATGCCACAGCTTTTAAAAATAGACCACAGAAATCATTAAGTAAGTAACTTGATTGTTAATGCTTCAAAAAATAGTCACAATGGAGACATTCTGATTAAGTAGTTAAGTAGACTTACTGGAACTTATAAGAAGTTTATAGGAACTATCTTATTGAAAGAAGGTTCTAGATGTCCTGCTCTTAGTAGCCTAACAATTTTCTTGTTTTATCATTAAATGTTTAAGCAGCTATATGATCAGCTTATTTTCAATCTTAATTGTCTCAGGATAATGTAAATAGCTTAATAAAATTCACAGGGCAAAATTCATCAACAGATTACCACATGTATTACAGTCAATGCATTTTTTTTTTAGTTTGGGAGGGTGAGAAAGGGCAATAAGGCCTTGGATGCACATAGAAATAAATTATTCACCTCCTAGAAAGTGTATTTACTCTTTTAGACTGGCAAATAAACTTAAACTACATCTTTTTTAAGTAATGAGAACATATTTGTTAAATAAAGAAACCATACACACTTAGAAGACTTGAAATGCCTCCCCCAAATTTGAGTGGAAAGTGAGCAGGCCCATAATGCAACTTGGGGGTAGAAAACTTCATAAAATTTATCTGGAAAATAGTTCACAGCCAGAATCTTCCTATAAATTCCCACATGTAATAATAAAGCATTTGATTGGAAGATCTATGGTAATGCTGGTTTGCAGGCAGCAGTCCATAATTTAAAAACACTCATCTGATGATTAAAATCCTAAAGTCTATTACTGCATGATTCAATCATAAGGCACCATCTATTAGAGACTACTTGAGATAATTTTGTCCTCCAGGACAACAGTAAAAAGAGCTATGATATGCTTA